TCGTGAAAAAATTATTTTACATTATGTATGTATGTGCATCTGCCTCGTTGGCCGAGTAGTTGCAAGTGCGACTGCCAGGCAAGGGGTCTCGGGTTCGATTCCCGGGTCGGGCAAAGTATTACTGGGTTTTTAAAAAAATCTCAGTTGTAACACTGAGTTTGGAATTGTGCCCGGTATATGGCAATAGGCTCACTCTCTATTACATGAGACTCATAACATAAATAGTGAAAAGTGGGTGTTACATTGTACAGTGGTATAATGTGCACCACTTTCGGGCATAAAAGGCGTGATGTTTTGTATGTTTACCTCTGTTTTGGTCCTTTGGAGAATAGAACGACATATATCAATATACATATTCTTTTATACACGAGTGGCATTAGCAATCACTTAAACGTCGAAGCAATTAAAATAAATGAGTATAAATAAACAAACGTAAGCTTACGTATAATTGTAACATAATTATAGTATACTTACGTTACGTATATCTTTTACCCGCGGCTTTATTCGCGCTATTTTAAAATGTTGGGGGCAGATTTACAAAATGAAAATTATTTGTTACTCATAAATAGTTTGCATACCAATTTTTGTTCGCATGACGGCGAGCATGGGTGGCTCCCCGTCCGACCAGAAACAGACCTGAGCGTACGGCGCGTCGCATTCCGCGCGCGCCTCAAAGAGCCATCAGACCACCACAGATGGGGCCCAATAGGGCCGATGCCGAGTCGGAGTCGCGGAGAACCTAATGGGTAACCGGGGCTCCGGCTTGACGTGCAGGAGAAGGAACGGGGTGGTTTTTAGTCAGTAAGAGTTTGACACTCCCTCCTGCCTCACCCAGGCGGGAGCAGTCATTCGATGATTTCCCCCCCTTAAAAAAACCCTCCCCCCTTTTAAGGGAAGTGGAGGGGTCAGAAAGAGAGAAACAGTACCCGATGTCGCTCACCATCCCTTCAATTACCTCCACTTCAAAAACACGTCAATTCACCGCTCCATTTTGCAACGAAAGACGGAAATTTAAAGCACACATATTTTCGCATTTATAATAATATTATTATCCTAATCCTAACTAATATTATAAATGCGAAAGTAACTCTGTCTGTCTGTCTGTCTGCTACTCTTTCACGCGAAAACTACTGAACGGATTTGAATGAAATTTGGTATACAGATATTCTAGACCCCGAGATAAAACATAGGCTACTTTTTATCGCGAAAAAGGGGTTGTAAGGGGTTAAAAAGGGGGGGGGGGAAGTTGTATGGGATTTCATAATTTTTAAAGATAAAACTTTATATTTAAGCACTTGATAAAAAATAATAAAACATTTGTTCTAGCGTTTTTGAAATTTCGACTCACTATGTCGATTTTTAAGAATAATTATTACGATTTATCTGAAAACCTGAAAACGGATATCTGACAGGTAACAACCTAATAATTTGTAATTGTTATGACGTCCTACTTTCATAATATATTTTGGCATCAACATATAAAAATGAAGTTCTGTGGGTTTTCAAGGAATAATATTAGTATTCAGCTGCATCAGGGATCAGGGATTTTAAAGACAAAATACAAATTCAATTGACTGAATACAATTTATTCATAGACTAGCCTCTGTCTGCGGCTTCTCTCGCGTTCTTTTAATTGGGTGAGGGAAGGATTTACAATAAAAAAATGAAATGATGCACGATTCTATGCTGGTCACAAATAATCCGCATACCAATTGTTAGCTTTCCACATTGAAAATTGCAAAATACCCCATACAAACTTTCACCTCTGTTTCACGGAAGTGGAAGGGGGTTAGAAATAGACAAAAAGTAGCCTATGATACTCTCCATCTTTTCAACTATCTCAAATCAAAAACCTTCCTGACTCCGTTCTGTCGTGAAATACGGACAAACAAACAAACAAGCACATACAAATTTATATTATTAGTATACATTTCTTAAGTCATCTGACATTTGTGTGACAAGTGAGTTTACAAAGTCAATGTGTCATAGATTTTTTTTATACTATGGTATTAATATTAAGGTATGCAAAGAGGTTGACAGCAGTCTAAGGAGATAAAACCACGAATAAAATATTTTCAGTTTACTTGAATTCGTATTTTTTATATGTATATCAAAAAACTAGCTAAATGCACATAGCTAAAAAATAATATTAGTCCTTTTCATTTTAGACCGTCAAGGCCAAATTCAGTATGATATTTTGCTGTTTGTTTATGGCATAAGCCGGTAAACGAGCAGACGGATCACCTGATGGTAAGCAATCTGTGCCGCCCATGGACACCTGTAACACCAGAAGTGCTAGAAGTGCGTTACCGGTCTTTTGGGAATTGGTAATTTGAGGATTGTTAGGGATTGGGGGGGCTGGGGGAGGGGTAATTGGGCCTCCGGTAACCTCACTTACACAGCGAAACACTCCTTTAGGTAACCGAGGGCTGGGCTCGCTGTCTTTGCAGCGGAAAGTCCCCTCTTTAAAAGTGGCTTTAGAGAGGCCATCAATGCAAGGACCGCCCGGAGAACACGGTGGAGCATACCGTGGCGGTGTACCTTGCATGGACTGAGCACCGCCGTGTTTTCAGGGATGTAGGAAACGGTGACCTCTCGCGTTCGGCTCTGGTTCAGGCCATGGAGCGAGGGGGATTGGGATGCAGTCGCATCCTTCTGCGAAGCAGTTATGCTTGCCAAGGAGAAAGCGGAGCGTGTGAGGGAATGAACTTCCTCACGCCCCAGCCGTCGCGGGAGACACTCGATCGGCCGGCCACCGGCCACCGTAAGTGCGGGTCTGTAGACGAAGAGCAAGGGTAGCTCGCCACTCGACCAGAACCAGTCCCGTGCATACGGCGCGCGCCTCACAGAGCCATGACACCATCATAGATGGAGCCCAGTAGGGCTGATGCTCGATACGGTGCCGCGGCAGGCCTAACGAGTTGACGGGGCTCCAGCTCGACGAGCAGGAGTAGGAACGGAGTGGATTTTAGTCAGTAAGAATCTGTCACTCCCTCTCACCTAACCCAAGGCGGGAGAAGTGATTGGATGATTTTCCGACCTCAAAAAAAATCTCCTTTAGGTAATGACAACCCGATGTGTGAAAAACTTCCAAAAAAACTCCTTATATTATTGGTATTGATTACGCTGTGGAAATTATGGACAATAGAGCCAAGGGATGTATTAAGTCTTATAGAGGACATTAATATCAACATTAAAGTACATGTATCATATGTAACTAACCTAATATCAGAATACCTATTTTTTCATTTAAATGTTTGCGATAGTAACACACGTCGCACCGGTACATATCAGGTCACATTATAGGAGAGAGGAAATCCCAAAATGACGGAAACTATGCGCTAAAAAACCAGGACCAAGGACGTTGAAATAAAGAGGGGCTCTTACCTTTTAAACCATTGAACCTATTTGGTGAAATTCGGTACAGCGATAGTTTGAGACCCGGGAAAGGACATCTAAAAGTTATTAACCCGAAAAACCCACGAAACCGGGAACTGTGCTGTTAAAATCACTATATCTATTTGGTTGAAATGCGATACAACATTGATTTGCAAACATAGAATAGTGAAACCTCACGAGACGGGCCTTGTACGGGTAAAACCTCTATGGGATTGTTTATTTTAGAAACCACGAAAATAAATTCATTTCTCAATAAATATAACCTAGGTACTGAATCGATTGTGATGATATTTGTTCCAGTTGTACAGCCATAGAATATACCTTGACAAAGACTAATTAAAAAAACCCAATTTATACAGAAGTCGTTATTTCACGCGGACGAAGTCGCGGGTAACAGCTAGTAGTATATAAAATATAAATAAATACTTTAGATAAGAACGTCGACACATGCGCTGCAAAATACATAAATTGAATTCAATAATCATGTATGATATGACTCAAATACAGGTACGAACTTAGTAAATGACTATTTGGGGTGACACCTAAATAAATTAGAGACAAACAAACTAAACAAACATACCGCGCAGCTACTAACAAAGTAAACTAATTGCTAACAAAATAAATTAACTATTCTACTCGAAGAGCTCTCTTGGTCAAAGCGCTAAACAAAGTTGGTTAATTACCGACTGTAATTACTCAAATAGACCTATGTAATTAATTCGCTTAAAAAAAAACTATTTATTTTATACTATCAGAGGTTAATAGCCCCTAAAAATTCCGAAAATGTAGATCATGTACTTAAACTAACCATATTATAACAATCACACAGACGGGCACATCTACACGTGTTAATCGAGGGCCCCGGACATTCCAAGTACGGCCCTGTCGAAACGCAATGTATTGGCATTGTCCAATGTGCAATGTGCATTCGTACAATCAATGTGCGGCTATAAATAGACCTGGCTAATGAAATCTATTGCGTTTATCATCATTATTAGAACTTTTCAGCGATTGCCTCGTTAGGTGAGCTGAAAAATACAGAGCATACACATATTGATATTTGGAATATGTCTGCTTTAGTTGATATATACTCGTTGTATCATAGACAGCAGATCAATCTACCGTCTTTTCTGTAAAATTTCTTTATTAGTTTTTCAACTATATCGTTTAAATATTCCGGGCGTCGGGGATCGGACTTCTCCCGCCCGGGTGAGACGAGAGGGAGTGTCAGACTCTTACTGACTAAAAACCACCCCGTTCCTACTCCTGCACTTCGAGCCGGAGCCCCGGCAACCCGTTAAGTCTTCCGCGGCTCCGTATCGGCATCAGCCTTGTTGGGCCCCATCTGTGGTGGTGTGGTGGTCTGATGGCTCTTTGAAGCGCGCGCGGAACCCGACGCGCCGTACGCTCGGGCCTGGTTCTGGTCGGGCGGCGAGTCACCGGTGCTCGCCGTCCGCAGGCTCATGTTTACGGTGGCCGGAGATCGTCTCGCGATCGGCGTTTTACCTAACACTCAGAATTCGGCCTAAAGAAATATTTCCAACAAAAAAGGTGATATCGTCATATCTTTAGTTCTAATTAAAACATTCTCTTGTCCACAGCCCTGGGCCCGATACTCCCACAGATCAATGTGTTCGGACGACAGCTGGGAGTGTCTCCCTCAGTCATGGGGATGGTGACAGCAGTCCTACCACTCTTGTGGGCAGCTGCGAAACCTTTGTTTGGATATATTGTGGATTTCTGGCCGGTAAGTATATATTATAGGTTTTTAGCTAAACTAGTTTAATCTATTAGTTATCTAGTTATTGGCGATGTATTAAAGAACGGCCAAATTAAAAGTACCATTAACCGACGAGCTTGATGACTGTTGATGAAGCGAAAGAGTTATGGTTGAGGTTGCCCATCCACCGCACCAATTGTGCAGTTAATAATGTACTCAGATTCCATTAGTCAATATTATCTATCTAGCGACAGACATTATACCCAAGTTATGTCACAGAGAACCTAACGGGTAACCGGGGCTCCGGCTCGACGTGCAGGAGAAGGAACGGGGTGGTTTTTAGTCAGTAAGAGTCTGGAAAACGCCGTTGGTTACACATTTGTTCGCACTACCTATGTATTGTGTCATAATGTATCATGTAATGTGTCACTGTTTGTTTTCCCAAATAAATAAAATAAGACACTCCCTCCCGCCTCACCCAGGCGGGAGCAGTCATTCGATGATTTTCCCCCCTTAAAAAAAACCCAAGTTATAATAATATTTTTTCCGTTTTCAGGCACACAGAAAACTAGTCTTCATGCTACTTATAACAATAATGACGGGATCATACTGCTGCCTCTGGTTTTTACCGATGCCCGAACCAAAGACTGACACCAAACTATTAGAATCAGTCTATCGCCTAAACGACACGATATATTTAAAACAAAACATAAACGACAGTTCGTTAGAAAAATACAAATGTCATTGGAACTGCACTTTGGCGGGAAATTTTGACGTTTACCTGTCAGATACGCCATTTGTAACCACAGTGTATATAGACGATGTAGTATCTAATACATCCTGCTCTGTTTTGTCTATGGATTTTGATGATATTCAAAATGGCGATGTTATGTGTTTACCGAAAGATAATTGTAATTTACTTTGTTATGAGAATGAGAGTGATATTGGAGGGAATAAGACTAGAAGAAGTGTTGAAGATTTAAATGGGAATAGTACTTTAAGTGGAGATGAGAACAAAAATGATAATTTTTATATGACTGCTGCGTTTTGGGCGTTCGTTATTTTAATGTGTGTTGGTACTGTTGCGTTCAATGTAGCCAATTGTATTGGTGATGCTGTCTGCTTCGATGTTCTCGGTAAGTATCACACCTTTTAATTTCCAAAGTTATTTAATATCACTTTTCTATAGTTTTGTTTTGAGTCCCATGTAATAGGGGGTCACACCGGTCATAATTCCCGTCTCCGTGCTACTACATAACATCACGCCTTTTATCCCCGAAGGGTGGACATTACGGAATTTAATGCCGCTGTACAATGTAACACCCACTGTTCACTATTTATGTTATGTGTCCCATGTAATAGGGGGTGAGCCTATTGCCATATACCGGGCACAATTTCAGACTCCGTGCTACTACTGAGAATATTTAAAAAACGCAGTTATACTTTGCCCGACCCGGGAATCGAACCCGACACCCCTTGCCTGGCAGTCACACTTATGACAATGTGACCACTCGGCCAACGAGACAATCGATAAACTGAATAAAACCCTAATAACACATTGCCCTACTCTTGCACTTACTTCCGTCGATAATTGAACAGGCTATATTATTGATTTTAAGCTTTATTATAATATACTTTTACTATTATACTACTATTATTAGGCTACGATCTAATGATCGTAGTCAATAATAAGAATGGCGCCCATTTGCACCCATTTAAAAATATTTCAAACATTTTTTTCCAGGGCCGGACCGAGGCTCGAAATACGGGGCCCAAAGAGCTTGGGGTACCGCGGGGTATGGTTTGACAGCATTACTGGGTGGGTACTTGATTGACAGCGTGTCTGGGGGCAAGGAGTATAAGGACTTCACTCCAGCATTCGTAGTGGCTTTAATAGCGACTTCCATTGATCTATACAGCTGTCGAGCCCTTACTGTGAGTAAAATCTTACTATCTATACGTTTGTGACTTTGTATGTATGTATGTTCGTTACTCTTTATGTCGCCGTGGTGGGTCGGAGGTTATGACTTCTAATGCATGAGGGTGCGGGTCCGACACCTACCAACGGCAAGTACCAATGTGACTTTTTCCGAGTTATATGTACTTTCTAAGATGATTTAGACACCACTGACAAACGGTGAAGGAAAACATCGTGAGGAAACCTGGGCTTATAATTTCTAATTATAAGTTTGAAATCGTCCGCAATGGGCCCTGCGAGTCCGCGCGTTCCGCACGGAGCAATTCTTTGTGTGATCCACAGGTTATTGTTCCGTGTCTGTGTGTGACGTGTATATGAACTTGTAGTAGTGTGGGGCAAAGTTTTATATAAAAGAAAAAAATAATTAAGGAACGGACTATATTTGACTTTGATATATTTTTATAATTCTATATTTTTCAACTCAATGTTTTTATTACTTCCACTGTCACACCTTTATTGTCTTTTTATATTTTATTTATGCTGCATCGTGCCTGGTGCTGAATAACTGTTTTTTCTTTCTTTCTTTCATATTGATCGTTGACGTTGATATTCCAGTTACCCTCTCTATCAAGCCCCGAAGACTCCGGCAAGGCGTTGCGCGATGTCCTGAAAATACCTAAAGTCATAGTTTTCATTATATTCGCGGTTGTAGCTGGAACATTCGACAGTTTCATCATTTATTATATGTTTTGGTAAGATTCCTATTATATATTACACAGAGGTGGGTTAAACTGAGAGCGCCTTAGGCAGGTACCTCACAGGCGCCCTTAATCATTTTGGGGACGCCGTCACGACCGCCGTCTATAGGTTTGACTGCACGGTTGGTGCGGTGGCTGGGCAACCGGCTGCCGTGCAATGTGTCGCGGGTTCGATTCCCGCACGGAACAACACTTTGTGTGATCCACAAATTGTTGTTCCGGGTCTGGGTGTCATTGTGTATGTGAACTGGTATGTTTGTAAACGCACACACGACACAGGAGAAAATCCTAATGTGGGGCAACGTTTTAGTTAAAAAAAAAAAAGAAAAATATAGGCAATTGAACACTCGCTTCTCACGGCGCGAGACAAACGGTGAAGGAAAACATCGTGAGGAAACCTGGGGCTTACTCTTGAATCCAATTCCGATCGATCAACATTGGTATTGTGAAATTTCGTACTCTTGAGTTGCAACACTAGCGCCCATTGCATCCGTATTGCGTGGATATTGAATGAACTAAATGGTATTGAGTTTGTCTTTATATTCCGTACTCTGAATGCTATTGTAACTGCTACGATTGTGGTTGTATAGTGTTGACATTGAATAATTATTGAGATTTAATTGGATTGAAATTGCATTGACATTGAGATTGGTTTCAAGAGTAAGCATGGGCCTATAATTCCTAATTATAAGTTTGTAATCGCCAACCAGCATTGAGCAAGCGTAGTGATTAATGCTCAAACCTTCTCCGTGTAAGAAGAGGCTTTTGGTCAGCAGTGACCAGTTATAGGCTGTTGATGATGATGACGAGTCCGCCAAGATCAGTAGTCAAACAGTGTAACGTCATAATTATGCTTAGAATGAATTATTAATCAAATATTTCAGGTGGACTGGCTCGTTGGCCGAGTGGTCGCAAGTGCGTCTGCCGGGCAAGGGGTCTCGGGTTCAATTCCCAGGTCGGGCAAAGTATTACTGGTTTTCAATTTCAATTAGTTTTTCAATAAATCTCAGTAGTAGCACGGAGTCTGGAATTGTGCCCGGTATATGGCAATAGGCTCACACCCTATTACATGGGACTCATAACATAAATAGTGAAAACTGGGTGTTACATTGTACAGTGGCATTAGGTACACTGCGGTACCTGCACCTTTGCCTACCCCTTCGGGGATAAAAAGTGTGATGTTATGTGTATGTGTTATTTCAGGTTTTTAGAAGAGCTAGCGGAACAGACAGGTCACACTGGCAAGATTAAACTGATAGAGGGCGTTGTGGTCGCCGCCGAATCTTTAATAGGAGAACTGCTGTTTTTCTTTTTCTCCGGTAAGTTTAGAAGATTTTCTATCCTGTATGGTGACGTTAGAGTAGAATACATTTTGCCACCATCCCTACTCTTTCCGCGGGTGTCGCATACCCGACTGACGGACTACACATTAGACAGAAACCGGGCAGCAGCGCTCTCTGATATACCTGAACCTACTCTTCCCTCATTGAAACCGATTAACATAAAAATGTATTGTTTTTATACATATGTTAAATGTTTTTTTAATGGTATAAGCCGGTAAACGAGCACACGGATCACCTGATGGTAAGCAATCGGCGTCGCCCATGGACACCTGGAACACCAGAGGCGTTACAAGTGCGGTACCGGCCTTTTGGGGATTAGGAGTTTGAGGATCGTTGGGGATTGGGGAGACTGGTGAGAAGGGGGGGGGGAGGTAATTGGGTAACCTCACTCACACGACGAAACACAACGCAACCGTTGCTTCACGTCGGTTTTCTGCTCGGCCGTGGTATCACTCCGGTCGAGCCGGCCCATTCGTGCCGAAGCATGGCTGTCCCACACTGTCTTAATTATTGGTTTTTATAATTTCAGGTAAAATTATAAAGCGGTTTGGATACGGCACCACTTTAACAGTCTCACTGCTGTGTTACGGGATCAGAATGATCTGTATATCACTCATACAGAATCCTTGGCACCTTGTGTTTGTTGAGGTATGTTTACGTACTAACATAACATCATGCCTTTCATCCTTGAAGAGGTAGGTAGAGGTGCACATTACAGCACTTAATGCCACTGTACAATGTAACACCCACTTTTTGTACACTTAACTACTCCATATCTGGTTTATTATAAATACTAGCTTTTACCCCCGGCTTCGCTCGCGTCACAAAAGGATAAAAAGTAGCCTATGTGACTAGCCATCCCTTTAACTACCTTCAGTTAAAAAAATCCACGTTAATTAGTACCTCCGTTCTGCCGTTTAAGACAGGCAAACAAACAAATAGCTTTCCGCTCGCGTGGAATTCGGTTATATCGCGCTATTAAGATTTTTCCAATAAGTAGGTAACTCATAGACTGGTTTTAAATGACATACAGCGTCATCTATACCAATACCCATAGCACCATCTATACCAATATTTTTATTTTCCCTTGCAAACATCAAAATTTTCCGGGATAAAAAGTGCCCTATTATTTAATCCAGACTTCTAACTTTACGTCTGCAAAATTTCAAAGCAATCGGTTTAGTAGTTACAGCGTGAAAGCAGAACAAACAAACAAACTCACTTTCCGATTTATAATATTTATATACAAAATAAGTAAGGAAAGTAAGGATTTCCATCCAAAGGTTGGTCGACCGCCCATTGTACGCATATTTACTTGAATTGTTTGTTTTTTAAGATACTTAAATGTGCACAATATATAAATAATTACAGGGTATACTCCAAGGTCCCACATACGCGCTATGCTACTCCACTATAGTTGGGTACGCGGCCCATGTGGCTCCTGAAGGATATTCAGCCACTGTTCAAGGAATCGTGGCGGGGATGGACGATGGAGTAGGTAAGCAACAACGTAATTCTTAACATGCAATGCATCACGCCTTTTATCCCCGAAGAGAAGAGGTGCACATTACGGCACTTAATACCACTGTATGTAACACCCACTTTTCACTATTTATGTTATGAGTCCCATGTAATAGCGGGTGAGCCTATTGCCATATACTGGGCACAATTCCAGACTCCGTGCTACTACTGTGAATTTTTGTCGCACTTACGACTATAAGGCCAATGAGGCAGACAATAATGTAATTCTTAATTAACTAAAATCGCGGTTTACTCACGTGAATATACTGAAAAAAGCTCTACTAGTTTCGAACCACAGAGGGGTTCTTCCTCATGAGCAGCGTGCGCGGTCGCGGCGACGTCGCGCAGCCTACTTTAATAGTAAACTAGTAGAGCTTTTCTCAGTATATTCACGTGAGTAACCCGCGATTTTTAGTAATTTAGTATGTCTCACTCACGATAGTTATTATAAAAACAATATAATTTTTAATTGTTGTGGTTTTCGGCTTATTATTTTTATTTTTTGAGGGGAGTAATCATTGAATGACTTTGTGGCGACGCATGCCACATGTCAACGGATGACGTCACAAGAATCCTACATCGCACATGCAAAGTTTACAAACGAATAAACACAGATAGAAAATCCCAACGAACAACTGTTGGGCAGAAAGCCCGCCAGGCATGATCACCTCGCCTGGTCGGAGGATCCTCCTTTTCCGATCTTAGGGAACTATACTCTCTGTTCCCTAAAGTGGTGACCCCGACGTGATTGGAAACAACCTTCACTTCACGGAGCAGATTAGCACCGTCATCCGTATCGCCATCCCTCTCATTCATCACTTCTCCGCTGAGCGGTAACCAAGTCGCAGCCAACCAGCATCCTCGGCCTCATCAGGGACCACCATTACCTGCAACGAAGTTGTGCAGCCTGGTTCTTCCCTACGGCCTCACCAGCGTCTAGGCACAGCACTTCTGCACACGGTCTGAAGGACACCTCCTCCCGTCAACGCAGATGCCGGCCACTACGCACCTACCCTCGCAGCATCTCTTCCCCGACTCACCGTGGGACACTGCGAACTCATCTCTCCGACTCACTGGAGTTTCACCCTGCACCGCTCACCCGACTCACTGGGCACTCAGCGGCACGGTTCCGACCCACTGGAACTAGGGACGTTCTACACTGGCTCTGGCGCCACTCATCTCAAGCATCGACAGCCGTCTCAGCGGGATCGACCTCCGGTCTTAGGAGGGAGTGATGTGGCGACGCATGCCACATGTCAACGGATGTCGTCACAAGAATCCTACATCGCACATGCAAAGTTTACAAACGAATAAACACAGATAGAAAATCCCAACGAACAACTGTTGGGCAGAAAGCCCGCCAGGCATGATCACCTCGCCTGGTCGGAGGATCCTCCTTTTCCGATCTTAGGGAACTATACTCTCTGTTCCCTAAAACTTCTCCCGCCTGGGTCAGACTCTTACTGACTACAAACCACCCCGTTCCTACTACTGCAAGCCGAGCCGGAGCCCCGGCAACCCGTTAGGCCTTCCGCGGCTCCGTATCTGGAATTGGGCATATCCGTAATAATACCATAAGCAATCAGAAAATCGAACTTCAATCCATACTAGTTGCACTTTATGATACTCGACAAGGCCAGAGAGATGACTTGATATTAAATTTTATATTGTTTTTCCAGGTTTTGCAATTGGATCCTTAGTAGGAGGTCAACTGTACAGTTGGCTAGGAGGTCGGACCTCTTTCAGGGTGCTAGCGGTCACAGCCATCATAGGATCAGGCATACACGCGGTCCTATTCGCTGTTGTATCGAGAAGCGACGAGAGAGCAGGTATAACCATATTCACATACAATATGCATTTTTTTTAAGGGGGGAATAATCATCGAAGGTCTGCTCCCGCCTAGTGTCAGACTCTTACTGACTAAAAACCACCCCGTTCCTGCATGTCAGGCCGGAGCCCCGGTAACCCGTTAGGTTCTCCGCGGCTCCGAATCGGCATCGGCCCTATTGGGCCCCATCTGTGGTGGTCTGATGGCTCTTTGAGGCGCGCGCGGAACGCTCGGCGCCGTACGCTCGGGTCTGTTTCTGGTCGGACGGGGAGCCACCCATGCTCACCGTCCGCAGGCCCGCGCTTACGGTGGCCGGAGATCGTCCCGCGATCCCCGACGCCCGGTGTGTCCTTCGCGATGGCTGGGTTGCGAGGAGGCAGCGCTTCGCTGCCTCACGCGTCCCGCCTCCTCCTTAGCTAGCATGACTGCTTCGCAATACAATATGCATGCATTAAATTCCTCGTTTGTTCCATGGTATATAGAAACTGTAGTGGCTCGGAGGTTTAAGATGCTCGCTTCTCATGCGAGCTCGAAACCTACCAACGGCAAGTACCAATGTGCCTTTTTCGGAGTTATATGTACTTTCTAAGATTATATAGACACCATTAACAAACGGTGAAGGAAAACATCGTGAGGAAACCTGGGCTTATAATTTCTAATTATAAGTTTGAAATCGCCAACCCGCATTGAGCAAGCGTGGTGATTAATGCTCAAATCTTGTCCTTTGTCCAATCCAAGTCCAATGGTTACTTTTTTGTGTTAATGTAATACAAAAGAGAGAGCGCCACCTACATACTCTATTTTTATTTTTCAGCTCAAAAAGCATCAGAGGCTACGCCTGAAGCGCAAAAGATGCTACAGGAGCGCAGTAACGCCATCTACAATGACACCGTGGTACCACTGAACGGTGAAGAGAAGTTTGATAGGTAACGTCAATAGATGGCGTTAGTTTGTTTTGAAATGTTTTTGTTGAACACTTTTTAGTTTTTTGTAAATGTTATTTAATGTATTAGCAGAAGTTTCTTATAGAGTGTTAGAAAAAACGTTAAGTGTTATGGCTTACTGAACTGGTTTGAAGCTATGGTAAGGGCCAATAAATAAAAAAATTCGTTTTTTTACTAAATACTCTCCTACTAATCTCATAAACACCTCAAACAAACAATCTTCAGCTAATATAATAAATAGCCGTTTATATAAGCTATATACGTAAAAGAATCAAAATAGATTTATATTTCAGCAATAAATTGTGCCATTTCATGAAAAAAGTCAAGAATAAAAAATTCTATTTATTTATTTTCAGTCAGCCAAGTCATTTAGTAGGCAGATAAGTAAATGAAGATTGATTCAGTACAGAGACAGTAGCCATTGGTTGTCTAGAGCCGACTGAGTTACAAATGATATGGCTTCGTTACAAAGCATACAATTCAGTATAACAATAGCTACTATCTCTGTACTGAATCTATCTTTATTTTCTTACCCGGGCCTTTAGCCAAACGCCACTTTAGCGCTTGTCTACAGAGAGAGTAGAAAACTAAACGTATGGGGATGACACTGATAAGTGTCAAAATTTACGTCAATTCCATATAATTTGGTTTTCTATTCTACATGTAGACGAGCGCTAAATGGCATTTGGCTCCAGCTGCTTGATACTGAATAACTTGGCTGCCTATTTACGTTTGTAAGATTATCTTTTATAATTATTGATGAATTTATATTTATTAAGGTTATGTTAAACAAAACATGAAACTGAACGTCTATAGTCCGACTTTTAATGTACGATTCCGAGTACCAAGCACGAATAACTATCGCATTCGTAACGTAATAGTATCGAGCGCGTTCGGCGCTCTGATTGGCCGGCTCAAGTGAACCAACCAATCAGGCAGCTTACTCTTGAATCCAATTCCGATCTATCGACATTGCTATTGTGAATTTCGTGTTCTCGAGTTGCAATACTAGCGTCTATTGCATCTGTATTCCGTGAATATTGAATGAACAAATGGTATTGAGTTTGGCTTTATATTCCGTACCCTGAATGCTATATTAACAGCTACGATTGAGGTTGTATAGTTTTGACATTGAATAATTATTGAGATTTTATTGAATTGAAATTACATTGACATTGAAAATGGTTTCAAGAGTAAGCACCCTGAACGCTTAACTCGCTCGATACTGTTATGATACGAATGCGATAGTTATTCGTACTTAGCCCTGAGTTACATTTTACTGAATATCTTACCAAAATGGCCGCCAACGCACATGCCTTTAGTATTGCGGGTCCATGTGCAGTGCCAGCGGCGGATCAAACCTAGAAAGCGCCCTAGGCAAGCCCCTCATAGTCATTGGCGCTCCAATTTGTTTTTGCCGCCGCCGCCACTCTATGTGCAGTTGTACACGCGCGTCTCGCGGCGCCCCTCTGTAACCTGGCGCCCGGCACTTGTCTAGATGTCCGGAGCTGCGAGCAATCACGGCAATGGTTTGGTGCTCAACTTATACAAGGTTCATATAAATAATAATGTTAAATGCACGCGTGTGCCGCCGGCGAGCTGCGCATTCGCGGAGCATTCGCCAGATGTAGACGCACCCTTAAGTAAGGATAATACGGCTCTGTGGCGCTGATTGCTTACCATCAGGTGATACAATAATAGACTGCTTTATCAGTTTATAATTATTTGTAATGTGTTCATTTAATTTTGATGCTAAATTAAGATATTTTTTATATATTATGTTGACTGTTGTTCCCCAAACATATAGTTTATTTTACATTATATTTTTTGTCATTTTATTAATGGACTGTGTTTGAACTGATGCCAAATTTTGTATATTTTATGGACAGTCAAAGGTCAAAAATCCACTGCCACCGTAAGTGATGTTCACACGGCAATGCGTAAGTAATTTCATATTAATGTGCATAAACATACGCACGCGTACGCACACGGATACAAATATGCGTGTGTGTGTATATAAGCGCTGCAGCGCAACCGGTAGTGGACTTTTGACCTTTGACCGTACATATTATAGCAAGGAGAATGATGACGTTATTACAATTCGTGTTTAAGAATAAATTTTGTGCTTTTGTTGAGTGCTTGTAAGCTACTGTCGCTTATGATATCGTAATAATACGTGTCTAAATTAACTAAAATCACGAATTACTCACGTGAATATACTGAGAAAACCTTTACAAGTTTCGAAGCACAGAGGGGTTATTCCTCATGAGCAGCGTGCGCGGTGATGAATGGTTTTAGTTAATTTAGTATGTTTCACGATAGTTATTATAAAAAGAATACGTGTCTAAATACTCTGTGTAATATTGGACCTAGAAATTTTCATAAGAGTTTCGAATGTGTCTAGTTGGGTACTGGACCGGGGATGGCGAACCTTTACACATTTACGTGCCAATTACTTTGAAGGCGTCTTATGGCGAATATGTATTGAGGGCGTCAATGTGCACTCAGATTAATTCTACTTTTCAATGTCAAAGTCAAAGCAATTATTTCAATTAAACCATAGTTTGGTACTTTTGAAACGTCAACAAATACAGAATTAATAATAGTCTGTCAGTCAGTCCGTCAGTGAAACTAGGTGAAGCTAGGTGCTCATTCCAAAAAGTAGATTCGAATGGAGAAGAATGAGAAAGAAACTCCACTCGTTACTCTTTTTAAAAAAGTGTGTTCTACAATGTCTCTGATACATATTTCAATACTGTACCCATACTTTCATACTACTTATTACCAAGCCGTAGCAATAAACTTTACAATAAGCCTGATTTTACAGTCACACAGCTTACACTGTCACTGTAGTCAAGTATACATGAAATACTGCACAATTGGGTACTTTTTATTTTCTTCTTTGGCAACCGAGTCTCCAAAAATGGGTACACGCCAACTAGTCAAATTCAATACTTTTTCGAACTGTCAAAAACTACAGTTTTCTATGAATTTTGTACGAGATTGTGTATTGTGACGTCACGTTTTTGTAGCGTCAAACAGTATACTTATTTCTTATAAATTTGCCGGAAATATACTAAAATTAAGTTGGTCATAAAATCAATTAATGAAAGTGGGGGTTTTTTTAACATTTTATTGTATTGAACAGTCGAAATAATTTATTTTTGATTAAGGAAAGTACCTACCCAATTCTGACAAAGGCGTTGCCGATATATAATCATGGTTTTTGTGTTCAGGTTACTCTCTTGCCCAAAATATTGTGTTCCGTGCCATCAATGCCACACGTGCAATGGTCCGCCATCTCTGTACTATAGTCAGAATTTTAATTAGATTCCAGATTTGACAATAGCTACTGTCATTTTGTGAAATAATGATACCACATATAATAGTGATAGATGAAAACTTCTTTTGAAACCTACTGTAACACTTCTCTGCATCACCCTATGGTTGGCTGGTAGAGAATGCCATTCGGCATTAAGTCCGCCATTGTATACAGTTGTACATAAAGTGTTAAATAAATAAATAAAAAAAAAATAGTGTAGTGATGCACACAAAAATCGATAAACAATCAGTGTGTGTGTTTTATAATGAATGTTACAGAAAGTGACAGGATAGCGATAGCGATGACGGCGAAAATTTATAAAATAACTTATTGCCATAATACATCTATCTGTTTTATTTGTCATGTTCCTTCATGATTTCATTTTTTTATTTATTTCACACACAATTATAAAAGAAACGTCTCAGATCGTTAATTAATCGTCAAAACTAAATTATCAGTTCAGAAATATTGCATTTCCATATCGAATAATTTCGCAACATCACTATTTAGTACTTGTCATAACGTTGCAACACTGAAATTGTCAAATCTGGAATCAAATTAAAATTCCGAGTATAGATAAATACGAAATTATAAGTCTGTCATAACTAAAATTAATAACGAAAAGACAGGTCTAAATGCGAACCGCCTCACTTTTTGAAGTGGGCTCAAGAATATAAATGAGTCCGAACCTGTGATCTCTCACATAACAGTAGCGCTTACAACCACTCAATCAACAGACAATTTTATTATATAATAACTTTTATATTGTATATATTTGTAACTTTTTGATCGCAGCAATGAGAAATAATCTTTTATACCAATAAATTAAAGTTTAATATCGTATGACAAACAGTTTTATTTCTTAAAACCAAATAGAACCTTGTTTAGACGTAATATCATAAATGTGAAAGTTTATTGTTTGGATTTTTGGACGTTTAAATGTTTATTAACTAAAAATCGCGGGTTACTCACGTGAATATACTGAGAAAAGCTCTACTAGTTTCGAACCACAGAGGGGTTCTTCCTCATTTAGTAGGCTGCGTGACATTGCCGCGACCGCGCACGCTGCTCATGAGGAAGAACCCGTCTGTGGTTTTTTTTTCTTTTAAAAACGTTGCCTCACACTAGGATTTTCTCCTGTGTCGTGGGTGCGTTTACAAACATACAAGTTCACATACACAATGACACCCAGACCCGAAACAACAATTTGTGGATCACATAAAGTGTTGTCCCGTGCGGGAATCGAACCCGCGACACGTTGCACGGCAGCCGGTTGCCCAGCCACCGCACCAACCGTGGTTCAAAACTAGTAAAGCTTTTCTCAGTATATTCACGTGAGTAACCCGCAATTTTTAGTTTATTTAGTGTCTCACGATAGTTATTATGTTTGAATTTTTGTCCATCAATCACATTGATACTAAACAGATTCTGATGAAATTTGGTATACAGGCAGGGTATGGGCTGACTTAGGTGATATAATACTTTTTATCCCGATTAAAAGCTCCCATGTGATAAAACAGGAATCATATTCTACGCGGATGAAGTCGCGGGCAATAGCTAGTAAAAAATATTGAAGGTTTAATAATTTTAAGTCAACCAAGTTATTTAGTTTCATAACATAACACAACATCAAGCCTTCTATCCCCGAAGGGGTAGGCAGAGGT